CAGGCTGCTGTCTCTAACCACTTCCAGACCTACTCCATCACCTCCTTGACCTTGCATGGGACATTACAGCAGCATGAGGGAGGAGCAGACATACTTTCTTTGTACCTACTTCACTCACATTAGGTTGCGTGCTTAGCTGTCTTCAAGGCTGAGGCTCAAGAGAAAAAACCAAAACAAACAGAACACAGGATAGGCAACAGCTTACGGGGTGACATTTGCAGCTCAAACTGGCAGAAGAACACGCATACCTTGGATACTGGTACTGTCCAAGATGGGCTGGAGGTTCTTCACCTGCTCCAGAAGGGCTGCTCGGGAAGGAATAACCTGCTCCTCTGATTCAGGAGGGACAAAAAGCAACATCAGTAAATACAAGACACTGCTTTGGCTTTTCACAAATAACGGTGAGGTAACTTTTACAGCTGATCTAGCTATACAGAAAGGGGCTTGTTTATGACTGCATTCAGACATTTGTGTGGCTCACCACTGAATTCTGGTTTACACTGACTTAGAGCAGGAAAATCTCCACCAAGTTTCATTTGCAGATTATACCGAAACAAGGCTGAACCACTGGGGTAAAAGAGGGTAAGATAAGAGTAGAAAGTGTTTAAAATACATCCAAAGGTCTTCCGTTTTTGTCACAGCCTAGAGAGTATTAGAATTGGGGTGAGGAAAACTGTTCCAGCTCCGTTTTTTCTTTTCATATTTTTACTAATTCAGGGTTAAATTGATCAATACTAAGATCAGAACTGACACAACTGCAGGATGGACGTGCACAAGGCAGCACTAGGGGTGGCAGATATCTTTGTACAAACCAACTCTCTGACAGCTCCAAAGAGGGTGCCTTGCCAGATCCTTACAACTAAAGAAAAGAAACCCATCCCAGTCCAGCTTAGGTAAAAGACAACTTTGTAGTGCTAAAAACCCCCTCTGCCTCCTCTCATTTCATACCATACCTGCCAAGATGAACTGCAGCTTCATGGCATCCGGAACAGCCATCCTATCAATGTACTGAGGGTCAAGGTATTTTATTACATCTTCAACTAGAGTGAAAAACAGGTGTGGAGACAAAAAGTAAGAGATGTTATTGCCTTCACAAATGGCGTCTTCCCCCGTGCTGTACATCAGGTTACTTTGTAAACACTGCCCACTTAGGGTCAGGGTTTTTTTCCAGAGTCACGAATTTCTATGGCACTTGAAAATATGTGACTTTGGAGCACTGTAACCAAGAGCTGAAAAACGTCTCAAGCCAAGCAACTGCTTCGTTACGGACAAGCGCAACGCTTGTTTTTTATTTGAACAGCGATATTAAAGGTGAGTGAAATCTGCTTCTTCCTGCCCTTTGAAACAAAACCAGCCAATAGCCCTCCATCCTCATCCTTAAAATCATCTATAAATACATGGTTTAGATTTTTATACTGAATGGACACCGCAGACTTGGACCACAACAGCTTGTTCCTTCCGTGATATGAGACGGCAAAACTTGGCCAAGAGGCAGCTTTGCAGGACAAAGCAGCACTCTGGAGTCCGCTCCTGATATCCCCCAGTTCGGTGGCAGATCCCACACACAGAGGAGAGAGTTGTGCTGGTGTGCCCGAGGCCAAGCATGCAGGAAGTCATTTCAGGAGCTCATGCATTTCAGCTCAACAACCCTCAGGGGCCGCATTACAGGCAGAGCAAACCACTGCACGGATGCGGGCGGACATCAAGCAAACACCAGGCTGCGGCAGCCCGTTTTGCACCCCCAACAGCCGAGTGGGAGAATCGCAAGCAGAAAGACACCCCGCCCGGTTACTTATCTCTCTGCCAAATATGCAAAACAAGAGGCAAAATCAAAGGGGCTCACACGGGGCGAGAAAGGAACTTTTGCTTAGAGGAGCGAAATGCCACACATAGGTTTCGAGCTTCCCCCCGCGCCCCCCTCCCCGCGGCCGCTCACTTTTCTTAAAGAGGATTTTGATCCTCTCCCTCTTGCCGGCGATATTGTTCAGCGCCACCTGCACCTTCACCAGCTCGTCCGCCACCTGCAGGGGCACAGAGGAATGCGGCGGGCCCGTCAGACCCCGCTGGGCCCGGGCCCGGGCCTGGCCACGGACAAGAGGCCGGCCCGGGCCCCGAGGGGAGGGGAGGGGAGGCGGGGCC